GGTTCGGTTCGGGTCGAGTCGGTTCTGTACCATAATTAAATTTTTAAATATTTACAACAACACTATATAAATACAACTAATGACATTTCATTCGTAACTTTTACAAATTAACGTAGCCCAATTTAAAAACATATAAATAACTAGCTGTCCAATAAAATTAATTCAATGCATACAAATACCAAAAAGTAGATATTAATATTACAGTAACACTACATAAAGTATATTCATTTGTTTCAAATTAAAATGGGCTAATGGGTTTTAAAAATGATTTGGACTTTAAAATTAAAGTTATGAAATAATCTGATTTATTTAATTAATTTGCTAATTTGTTTAGAAAAAAATAAAATAATTTAATTAATTCAATATAAAAAATAAAAAAATTATTTAGTTTCGATTTTTCGATTTTTGGTCTAGACCCGAGACCCAACCCAAACCCATCGGTTCTCGATTCGGGTACCCGTTCAAGTATTTAATTTATGAAGAACAGCTTGATTCGGTTCGGTCCGGTTCGGGACTTTTGGACACCCCTAAAAGAAAGAAAAAATCGCATGTTGAATGAATGGTATTGGTTTTTCGATGGATTAATGATTTTTGTACCAAATTTTCTACTTATTTAGGATGTGTTTTAGATTGTAAGGTTGTTGTAATTTGTTAAAATCAAATCATTTACACGTGATAATTTATTATAAAATGGAGGATGATTTACTCGTCGAGCTTGCCTTAAATATTTTATTACGTTATATTATTGAATTTTTCTAAATTTCACTCCCTAAAAACAACCTTTATCTCCCTCTCTGCAGTGGATTATGAAGAATTCAATATGGTTAATGTTAAATTGTTTTCTTGATTTATATACTCTCTTACATATTCATCCATCTACAAAATATTAATAAATTGCTTCATACATGGTAAAACTTTCATGAACCAGAAGCTATGAAATTACCAAATTGAACAAAGATTATTCAAGAAATTGATTTAACTTTTTTGTATCTGAAGAAGATTCATGTACTATACAAAAATTGATACTTTGGTAGAAAGAATCATGAATTTATGTTCTATTAACCAATTGATAAAGATAAGAAAGAATAATTATTTTTCCCTTCTAGTATTTCGTGAGCCCTTGTGCTTGATTTACGTGTGATCCTGTATTTCTCTTGTAGTAATCTTGTAAGCGCTAGTACGTACTTAATTCACTTGTGATCCTACCTTCAAATCCATTCGATTACCCCGAATACTAACAAAACAGTGCTAAAAATACTTATATCAAGTGATCAAATTAAATGCAGCAAAAGCAAAGTTTTATTATAGTACCACTCCAAAGACAGGAAAAAATGAAAAAGAGGGGAAACCCTAAATAGCAGGCATGCATATTTTGATAGATGATCATGATCATCAAATCAAATCAACTGATCATCACTTTCATCTTGTTCATTGATCTTGTTCTTGCTACTTCCCCCTTCATCTTTCTTCGAGCCCATAGCCGGTAAGGAGGGTCTGTTATTCTCCCTGCTTAAAGCCTCTGCCACCATCTGTCTTCTTTTCTTGTTCACCTGGAAATCTGGTTTCTCCAAGTCTTCCATTTTCAAATTTGATTCTTTGCCGCTCAGGTTCGCAAATGATTTCGATTTTCCTTTGTAGAAATTCGACAGTCCTCTCCTGTAAAACATTTGGTAAAGATGAATAGAACAAATCTTAAGATGCATGGGAATTAAAATAAGAAAACACGACACGACACTACACGAGATTACTGACTTCATTGGAAGAGAGTCTTCCAGGGAAGCCATAGAGTAAAGGGCATCATTGGCAAGTTCACTTTGAACTTCGTCCTCATCAGCATCATCATCACTTGGTTGTCCAATACTGGACGACGATGTTGTCACCGGGGGCCACGGAAGAGGAATTCGACGTTCACGATTTCTTTTTCCTCGACCATTTCCATCACAATAGCCACCAGTCATTCCTCCACCGCTTCCACTGGCTACCATCCTGGACATGGCTAAGAAATAATTTTTCTCTCTTCCACTTTCAGTACTACTCTCTATCTCTCTCTTATTTTGAGTAATAGTAATAGTAAACAGTGGCCACTTTTATAGAGAGGAAATGAAATTAAGGTGGGGTAGCGTGGCGCATGTTAAGGATTTACAGTGGATAGATTAAAGTTGGTGGAGGTTATGGAAATTTGGGAGTATTCCCCAGAATTTGACATGTATTCAAGAGATGAGTGTGTTCTCTTCTATATCACCGTCACTTCCATGTTTTAGAGAAATATGGTGAGAGAAATGTATATGTATGTATAGATTATTGCAGGAGGAGGAGGGGGACGGACCTAACGTTTAATGACGGAAGCAGACGCCGTTTGTCTGCTGACGTTTCTTAGGGATTGACTCAAGAGGTGGAATTTGTCCGATCCTAAACTTTAACTCGACCGAATGGCATGGGCCGGGTTTTGGCATTAATATTGGAATAGAGTAATAAATAAACTCAACTTTAATTCGACTCGATTGTGTTTGGGATTATTTCTTTCAACCGTCTCAATTTCTGATTGTTAAACAATTACAGCTACTTTAGGTGATTTTTTTAAAAAAAAACCTCATCGGAAATGTTATCATACCCACTGTGGAAAGTCTTATCTTACCTATTTAAAGAGAATTTTACTTACGATTCTCATATTTTGAGAGAACTGTAAATAACGTTCTCTTGCCAAAGCAGCAAGTAGGCAGTCTTATCCTGTCTAATGTGGACATGAGAACAATTTCGAAAACCTCATTATGGTATTCTCCAATTATCCATCGTTAATGTATCAATGTCTATTTTAGAGAGTATATTGTTACAACAATTTCAGATATTGATTTTGGAATATGCAGTAGCTTTTAATCAAAGTTTACCAAACAATTAATTCATTCTTGGGACTGATTCTTTTTTTAACACAACAAAAACTGATTCTTCTAAAATCTACAGTAATATCAATAACAAAATAAGTAATTTTCATCTTTTGACAGAATAAGAATTTTTTGTTTAAAAAGAAATTTGGAAGTTATATTATGTGCGTTTTGTACAATATATCAAGTGAAGTAATTATTGGAGTTTATTGTCTTGGTGCTAGAAGAACGAGAATAGATAATTTTAGATAATTATGTAAATTAGGATGAAAATTTGAATGGTCGATCTAGGATAGATATGTTTCGTACTTGAGTTGATTAGAATCATCGGTTAGCATATCGGCTTATATTTAATTTTAAATGAATCGATAGAGACATTTATAATTCGCCTGATGACGTTTTTGAAAAAAGCCGTTGAAACGGTTAAAAGTAACGGAGTTGCTAACTGTTTAAACGTATATATTTAAATTTAAAAATGGTTGTTACTAGCCGTTAGACACAATTAAATTTCAAAATGTCCATTATTAAATCTCAATAAAATGTTTGTTTGTCATTTCAACCTTAAAAACTCGTACGCGTGCCACTTACTCAGGAAAGGCAAAATCTCCTGCTTCAATCTTCATCCTTGCCCTTGTCACCCGCCATGCTCCCCCTGAAGATTGAAGCGAAGATGGGGAACATAGTTTTTACCCCCAATTATTTTTTTCTATTGTGTTTTATATATTTTAAATATTATTTAAATAATAAATAAGTATGAAAGCGCAAAAAAATAGAAATCTTTTAATCCCTACCCTTGCCTCTAGACCTTGTTTCCATCTCTACAATAACTATTCCAAGGTTAGCCCAAAAAAGTCAACCAAATATATATTGCAATTATGATTTTAGTGTTATAAATAAGTAGTATTTATGAATAACGATATAACCCTGCAGCCCTAATTATAATCTATAATTATGGGATCTTTGTTCACAATAATCACGCACAAGTTTATTAACTTTTCTATTTTATTCTCTTCTCTCTCTATTAACTATATATTTTTCAATTGAGTTAGGAAAATTTATTCATCTTCGTGCTCATGAATCCAATTTGAGGTAGGAAATTCTTTTTTTCTTATGTTCAAAGAAAATATCTCATTATAATCCACCCCTTCCTTTTGAGGGAACCATTTGGCAACAAGTCTAGCCTTTTTACCTCCTGTATTAGAATCCCCTTCTTTGATCTTAAAAATTCATTTACAGTCAACAATCTTTTGATTTTCAGGTTTGTTAACAAGAATCCAAGTTTGGTTTTTGATCAGAGATTCCATTTCTTCATTTATGACCTCTTTCCAGAATTTAGATTCAGAACAGTTTACAGCTTCTTCAACGGTAGATGGTTCAGAATTCAAAAAGTCTAAAGCTGATAATAGGGTGACAAAATCATCATTGCTGAACCTAGTGGAGGGAATCATATTCCTCCTATCTCTATTTCTATCTCTATCTCTATCTCTATTCAGTTGATAGTCAGCAAGAGATGAGTTAGTTGATTCAATTTCAACTTCAGGTTCACTTAGTTCTTGATTCACATCAGAATGAGTAGGCTCCACCTCAATTAAATCATTTTGATCATTATAGTTTTCAGTCTGTTTTTTCATAATGGTTTCCTTTATATGTGCAGACTTAGCAGATTCAGTTTCAGATGTAATTTTGCAAGAAAAATCACTTTCATTAAAGATTACATTTCTGTTGATGATCACTTGGAAACCACCCTTACACTTAACCCAAAGTTTATACCCTTTGGGCTCCTCTCCATACCCTAAGAAAATACATTTTAAAGATCTTAGTTCAAGTTTTCCTTAATTTTGATGGGAGTAAGCAGTACAGCCAAAAACCTTAAGTCTGTTATAATCTGGTATAGAATTAGACCATATTTTTTCAGGGGCTTGAAAATCAATAGCACTAGAATGACTTTTATTAATAAGATATGTTGCAGTTTTAAGAGCTTCACCCCAAAAGAATTTAGGAAGCCCAGAACTGTATATCATGCACTTAACCTTTTCTAACAAGGTTATATTCATTCTTTCAGCAACACCGTTTTGTTGAGGGGTGTACGTCACAGTTCTATGCCTTAGAATTCCATTTTCTTTAAAAAAAGAATCAAATTCCAGATTGTAGAATTCAAGGCCATTGTCAATCTTAAGTGCTTTGATTTTCCTATTGGTTTGATTTTCAATCATCAATTTCCATTGTTTAAAATTTTGAAAAGTATCAAAGTTATGCTTCAAAAGGAAAGTCCATATTTTTCTTAAAAAATCATCTACTATAAGTAAGTAGAATCTAAATCCAGTCAGGATATTTACACTTACTGGACCCTACAAGTCAGCATGTAAATATTGCAAACTAGAAGTGGATTTATGGACTTCAGATTTAAAAGATAGTTTATTCTATTTTCCTATGTTTTCCAAACACACAGTCTTCACAGAAGCCAAATTTTTCAAAATTATCTTTTCCAAGATATTTATTTAAAATATTTAGTCCCTTTTTAGACATGTGGTCAAGTCTTTAATACCAGATTAAATACTTATCAGAGTTAGAATTCAAAGCAGCAGAGCTGTAACCTACTAAAGGTTCAGCTTGCATAGTATAGATACCATTTATCTTGGGTAAAGAGATAACTTATTTATGATTAAGATTCAGCTTTATGAAGTTCTTATGAATCCTTATGTCATAGACCTCATCTAATTCTCCTAAGAAAATAAGATTCTTTTTCAGTTCAGGTACATATCTGACTTTATCAAGTTCAAGTATATGATTGTTTACTATTAGGAGACTCAAATTTCCTACCCCATTTATCTGACAACTCGTGTCATTTCCCATCTGAAATTGAACTCCATTCAGATTAACAAGTTCAATGAACCAATCTTTTATAGGGCACATATGGAAGGTGCAACCAGAATCAAGGACCCACTCTTTTGGGTCTCTATTGGTGGTGTTAACAAAGACAACCCCTTGAATATCGTATTCATTTTTATAGGCAACAGCAGCTGACCCATCATAAGTGTGTTTTTCTTTCATATCAGATATCTTTTTAAAACAGTCTTTTATTAAGTGCCATGTCTTACCACAATAATAACATTTTCTAACTTGCAGCTTAGATTTTGATTGATTCTTATTCTGATTTCTAAACTTAGGAAATTGAGATTTATTCTTTTTATGAGAATTGAAGTTGCATTGATTTCCTCTTTTGTTCTGATTCAGTTTTTCCCTAACATTTAAAACTTCTCCAGACTTAGTCCTTGAAATCAGATTTTAATTCAAGTTCTCTATTCCTTAAAAAAGATATAACAATATCAACAGTAAGATCAGTTCTCCCATATTATAAGGCATTTCTAAGCTCTCTGTATTTATCACCTAGTGCATTCAACAGAGCAATAACTTGTTGATCTTCATATAGTTTCTCATCACAGTCAGTCAGCTCTTGAACAAGTCTAGTGAATTTATCAATATTTTCTTCTAAATTGGAAGAAAGATTAAATCTGAAATTATAGAATTGTCTCAGGAGATAGCATTTGTTGGGCATAAATTTAGTAAGGTAGAGAGATTCTAACTTGGTCCAAAGACCCTTAGTAGTAGCGGTTTCCCCAACTTTTCTAATAACAGTATCAGACAAATGAAGAATATAGAACTCCAAGCAATCTCATCTAACTCATGTCTCCTATAAGCACTAAATTCAGTACCCCATGTCCCATCAATAGCTGCAGCATATCTCTGTTGTAATAATAGAGCCTTCATTTTCGAGTGCTACAGATTAAAATTTCCAGATCCTCTCCAAAATTCTACTTCAAATTTATGTGCAGTAGTCATAGCAGATAAACTCACAAGAACAAAATTATACACCATACAGAGTATAACAAGTATTGACAGTATGTATGTATGATAAACTTCAGATATTACAAGATTATATCAAATGAACAATTGATCAATAAATGCAATTATATCAAATTAAACTGTCAATCTTGAAAAATGTTTAAGGAGTAGTAACCCTTAATTCCTCAACTCCCACAGATTCTCAGATCCTCGAATGAGATCTTGGACAAAGGAAAGTAGAGGAGGATCACTTACCTTAATAACAAATTCAGAAATTGACACTGATTATAAAAATTAAGGAGAGGTTTAAGATAATACCAGAATCAGGTCAAAAACCTTAGTATGAATGCAGAAAACAACGAGTCACAAAGACTCAAGCTGAACTCAGCAGGAAATGAAACAAGTCAACTCAACTCGCCGCACTCAGTACGAGTCAAACGAGTCACCAAGACTCAGTACTGAGTCAGATCAAAAATCGACAGACACTCAGTAGAAGCAACAGATCAGTAAAGATAATCAAGAACAAGAAAAATTTTCAACGGGATTACACAATTCTACACAAGAAGTACTCAACGCTTTAATGGATCTAACCTAAAAATTGAATCGAAGAAAGATCCACGATTTCCCTTTTAGAAAGCCACAATTTTTCTCTTTTCACAAAGAACTATTATAGATCTAAAATCTGCAACTTTAAACAATTTTCGAAATTAAGGTTTTTCAAGAAAACAAACGCTAATTCAGATCTTGTGAGAAAAAAAGCTTTGATACCACTTGTTGGTCCCAGAGTAAATTTGAACAAACAAAATTACTTGAAAATTGCAAAATGTAAAGAGAACACAAAGAATTTTTCACCCCGAAAGGTTCAGATGTTCAGCCAAAAGGCCTAATTACCCGTTGAACATCTACAAAGTAGATATTGCTCTAGTTTCATTATAATCACCAAGAATCGTTACAAATGTACTTCATTGTTTTCTCTCACCTCAAATCACACAAATACAATACACAATCTCACCCATATACACTAAGTATATCTGGAAATATCACTCAAATTTATAGAGATTGAATAACAATCACTAAGTACACAAACCGGCAAAGAGAAAAGAGATGAAACCCTAAAACTCATAAGTTCATCTCAACAAACAGTAACTCACAAATGAAAACGCAAATGAGAGTTAATACACGAAAACCAAAAGTCACAAGATCAACGGCAAAAAGTTGGCCAGATGTATGGCCAGATCACCAAATCAAAAACAATGAAGAGACATATAATATGGAAACACGATTTCCATATTACAAATAAGACTGGGCCAAGAAATCGGAAACAGCAGAAGCCCAAATGCAAACAGGTTGGACCATGAATTGTGAGGCAGCCCAAAAATTTAACATTACCTCCATTCTTGTCGTCGTTGACTATCCATTCGTTGATGCTGCCAAACCCTCTCTACCTATGGCATGTTCACTATCACCCCAACTTTTTTTTTTTTTGGAAGAACTAAGAAATGTGAACATGTTTATGGAACATACAAATTTATTTTATTTTATTTTTTTGTTATGTCCTTTCGTTTGCAACTCTATGAGCGATGGAGAACAACGGCATTGCTTCTGAATGAATTGTGGATGGGACCTTCATGTAGATGTGTGATGGTGGCGATTGAATTGAGGTAACGATGGCCGGAATGGATCTAGGGATTGATGTGGCAGCTATGATGGCAGCGACCTCATCGGATTTTAATGCTTGTGATTGTGTTTGTGTTTTTGGGAGGTGGTTGTTAGCAGTGGACGATGGTGCTTTTAGTGGTTTCAGATCTTGTTCTTGGTCATGGGCTATAATGATGGCGATGTGAAAGATATGGTGGTGATCATGTCTAATTTGACTAGCGATGGTGGTCGAAATAGGTAGCAAAAGTTGTGGTGGTTTTGGACTTTTGGTTGTAGAATTGGTGATTTCTTAGTGATGTGGCAACTGTGGTGGTTACAAGTGGTGGTGGTGGTCTCACGGTGACAGTGTAACAATAAATACTACAAGTGTGGGGTCGACGATGGTGGTGTAACACTAAAGTTACAAGTGGTGGCAATAACGGCCACGACAACAGTGAAAACAGGCTGTAAAATGTGTAGCTTACTGTATTACAAAGGTTGGCTATGATTTCAAATATAGGGGTAACGAAATGTGTGTAACACAATTTTACAAAATATAACATATTGTGTTATAAATTTATTGCAAAATATTACAATAAAATAAAAAAACAGTATTTTTTCATAAAAACAAAAAAGGTTTAAAAGTAAGTGTGAAATTATTAAACTTTTCAAGAGTACTGTGAATTAACCCTTTTTTAGTTTGTGCATGCATCTATCAAATGCCAAATAAAAATGCCTTTCCTAACATGGTAAAATTTTAAAATGAAATAGCAGTTATAGCTTCGCAAAACTCCAATGGTGGCCCCACAATTCTAAAGTGCAATGGTTTGTAAAACAGACAGGATTGATCTCTTAAGCACGCACTCGGGTAACATGACACACTACGATGGGTTAGTGAGAGATAATGATTGATTACAAAACTGATTACACCACCTATTGTAGCGTGTCACGTCACCTGATACTTAGAATAAGCTAAATATCAGTGCTTAGGAGATCATTTTTTATATATATATATTCACTGTAAATTAGCCCTAATTTTTATTTTCAACATTTATAATCACATTTCGGATCCTTCACAGGACAAGGCTGCCAATACACAAAACAAAATGGTAGCATCATCATAATCAATTATCTTTGTACTTGATTCACATTTGAAATTACCATCATCGTTTACCTCTAAACTTGCTAAAGCAATTCAATCAATCTTTAATTGATCCGACTGGAGCCCTGGACGGAATAGAAGCTCCATTCGCTTGAATATTCTCTTTCGATGCATTGCCTGAAAAAGAAGCTTGATTTTCTTCGACTTTCTCTTCTGATCGGTTGCCTACCAAAGCAACTTGTGATTCACGAATTTCCACTCTTTGAGCATCCGTAGAAAGAGCAGCTTCGTCTTTTTGGACATTCTCTTGCGTCATATTTTCTGAGCTAGAAACAGTGGCTTCCGCTACAGTTCTTACAATTCCAGCAGCTGGAACTTGTGCTTGGCGAGCTTCATCACCTGGTTTAGAGGCATTTGTCATTATCAAGGAGCGATTGGTGATTGGCGCCTTTGCCAGGCCATTACGAACAAAGTGCACGTTACTTGGCAGTTGATTCGAGAGACCTGTTGTCAAGGATTTAATCATAGAGCCTCGTCCAGCAATGGCACGAACAGAACTCTGAGAAAGTGGAGCCTCAATGTGCGACGGAGCAACAGGGGTTTTAACAATTCGGGCCCCAGCAGCAACTGCAGCCATGGAACCCGGGATCTGAGTAGGATTTGTTGATGGTCTTTTCAGTGATGGTACACCAATCGATGATGTTTCAACAAAAGCAGGATGTGTGGAGTTGCCTGCTCTGCTATTTGAAGCTGTACCGCCTGTACGGTTTCAACCAGTGATCACTAATCAGTGCAAGCTAGAAAAACAAAAGTATAATTAGGGCTAGGCTCCCTGATCTTTCAAGTAGTTTGGTTTTGGGTTTCTAACTTTCCGAAGTGAGGTTTTGGGTCTCCAACCATATTCAAATTTTTGAATCTGGGTCTGTGCATGATAGAAACCATCAATGTAGTCTACAGACATTAAAATCACGCACAACTTTCACGTGACTCAAAGTTGGACATTAAGTGATCCGGCGTTTTCTCCCTCCAGCTTTGTCACATGAAAATCCCATTCAATTATGTCCATGATGGTGCCCGTAATGTGGGGACCCAAATTCACATATTTAAATGAGTTTGGTACCCAAAACCACAACAGTTAAAAGATTAGGGAGCCAACCATAATTTTCCATAAAACAAATGAATGCATAATGAGAAACTGTAGTGGATGGACAAGTGGACAACGTCTAAAGTCATTCCATGTGATTTATTTGGGGGGACATAATCAACAAATAAAAATAAAATGGCAAGAGGAAAAACAAAACACGTAAAGAAGAGAGATACATGCTCCAAGCGACCACATTCAGTTTGTATAAAGAAATCACACAGCAAGATACTTCACCAATTTGCTTTTGTTCAAGAAATCATGCAGGTGAACCAAAACTGGAATGTGATCCCAAATTGATATCCAAACAACGTATCAAGAACCATTCAATATCTATATATAAGTTTGACAGAATTTCAATGACATTTGCACAAATGATAAGACATACTTTGTTTCACAAGAGATACTGCCAACTTTCCACCTGCATATAATATCGGACAGTTAAAAGTGACAAAAACGGTTTCAGCGTCTATATAGGATGACTTCCTAAACAAGTGCCAGTCTAATTGCCAAGCTACATATAGGTGATGCAGGCAATATAGGAGTGAGAAAAACAATATATAAAGTGAAAATTATTTGGAAGGATACAAGCTTCTTTGGACTTATCTGATAGCCCAAAACAGCCTTTAAACAAGTCCAATCAGAGTATTTGTCACTTCTATATCTTAATTATAAGTATTTTTTAGGTTGGGGATTTTAGTAATTTCCAAAATATGTGTTTTTACAGCTATTCCAAGTTTTGGTAATGGAATTTATTCTTGGGGGTAAATTCATGACCTTTGTTTAAGTCTTCACATAGTAATTAATATTTTTTGAAGTTTGAATCTAGCAAAGCATCAGGAGTCCTTCAGAGTCTATACGAAAGTCCCATTTTACTGAAAATTGAGAGCCATTGTTATGATGGCAAGGGATTCCAGGCATAATGTTTTCCTCCTCTCTATCTTCTTTCTTTAACTTTTTTACGGTTTCCGAGTCCTGTTCGCAGCATCCAAAAATGCCCCCAAGTCTGTTCTTTTCCAACTTCTTTAATAATCCAAGACTTCACCCGTTCGAACCACATCCAGAATTACAGAAGAATAGAAAACCCCCCAAGGTTGTCTTACATAAATAGGGTTAGTCGTAGAGAGAATTACCAGTATTTAATGATGCCCTCAAATGATCACCAAAGGGCATATCTAGGGCAAAGGACATTGCTCTGTGAGCCGCGGCCAGCTGAGTCTCAGAAAGTTGTGAACTGGCTCCCGCATTCAAGTTGCCTTGCTTTTTCCTGATAGTGGCCCACCTCTGCAGAGATTTATTGTATTTCATTATAATCAGTATAAAATCTATTGGCAAATTATTAGTTAACACAAATTCTATCTGACAGGACAGGATGGCCGGAAGTTCACATAAATAACAAAATTAAAGCTGCAAAACCTGGGCAAAGTCCAGACACCTAACCCATGTATATAGAAGAAGGTTGAACTTTAAGAAAACAAGATGGCATAGATATAATGACACAAGTTAAATCATATGAATCCATCGTCTATTGCCTGTGTTTAACATAGAAAATAAAAAATAATTATAGGTATAAGCCTGCTAATGGTAGCACAAGCGGCAACTACTTTCACAAAACTAATGAGATACTCTATATATCCCCGACGAGGATGAGAATCAGTTCATCAGCTATCATTATTGTCCAATAACTTGATGCACGTGCATATTTATTTGAAAGCTAATAATCTCGCTTCCTCACATCAAGGCACATTCTTCTTTTTTAGGGGTTTACATAGAAGTTCCATCATTCATGATCTAGTCCAAACGAGGCACTTCCTGGATACATGAGCCTATCAACAGCCGTACTTGTTAAAAATGTGCAAATAAAATCATGTATAAAATAAGCAAATCCCAGAATTAGTTACTCCAGATCACCTCCACCGCACCCTATTCCAACCTAAAATAGAAGAATTATGTCATACCAATCATTTCTTAGGCCCATTTTCTCATTCTAAATGAACGAAAAGTTCCAACAATTAAAGCATACAATATGACTAGGAAGTACACAGTTATGGAACTAAGAGAACCTTAGATAGCTCTGACGGTTTCCTATCACCCTTAAAATCTCCTTTCAAAATATTAGCCCAATTCCGTTCCCCACACTTTTGCACAGCGGCAATGAGTTCCATATCCTCTTCTGCAGACCAAGGCTTTCTTTTTCTTCGGGCAGGCAAATTACTGCTTGTTGACTCATTAGTTCGCTTTTCTTCAGTACATGTTACAGTAGTAGAAAATTGCTGTTTACGCACAGAAACTGCAATGGTAATATTTGTCCCCTGCAAACAACTAGCAAGATGTGAACCCTCTGAAGGAGCTGTGGACTTCTCACGGTTCGGTATATTTATAGTTAATGGCGCCTCGATAGTTGAGTTGTTTGGGAGATGGGAATCATTTAGGGTTCCAGAGGCAATTAAGACCTGGAGAAGGTAAAAACTTATTTAGTGGATATAAAAATGAAAATTAGCATATGTAAGCTAACTAAAAGAAAAATAAATAGCATGTCATAATTTTTTCAGGTATATAGCACAAGCATGCCAGCAGAAATCAATTGTGGAATCCTAAAATAAGTTGACATTGCAATCCGGTTCAATCCACAAACAAATTTCAATTTAAGTAGACAGTTCAATTTTTTCCCCAGACAATGTGCATGGAATCAGTTTCTAAAAGCAAAAACATTCAACTTATAGGCCATTTTGCATTGCTTATACGCAGGTCAAACTGGATTATAGCCCTTTGTTCTGCGTAAAAGCTCAGAGAGTTGCTGAGTAATAAAAAAAGTCAATATTCCCCTAGAAAGCACCCAGGTGTTTCTAAGCCCAGCAGGTAACAAAACAACTCATACATTTCCTGAAATTCAAAGATAAAAATTCCAGCACATTTTAAAAAAAAACTATTGCTTCCAGGCTCCAGCAGTCCCCTCTTCCCCCCAGTCTAGACTAGCTGCTACCTGCTCTAGTGCGCGTAAACCCTCTCCAACCTGCAACCCCTCCGCAACTTCCCCCACAATCTGTAACCTTTCCCCACCAGTAACCCACTAAGTCCCTCCCATGGTCCCAACTTTATCTTGCCACCATTAACTCCTCCATCTCATCCAGCCATCAATGCCAACAGCTTCTCAACTCTCACCTTCCCCCACAACCATCAGCACCACAACCCCTAAATCAACCACCCCAATTCCCAAATCAACACAGCTCAAGCTATCAATGGATGAAAAGAAAATAAAGGGAAAAAAATGGAAAAGAATTGAGAAAAGATGGAGCAGGAAGGAGCAGAAAGGGAAAGGTGGGAGATTGTGTGATTCAAAACATTTTTTTTTTTATAGTAAGTGGGAAAGGAAATGAGAAAAAGATGGAGCAAGAAGGAGCAGAAAGGGAAAGGTGGGAGATCGTGTGATTCATAACAATTTTTTTAATATTAAGTTTTTGGTATCATTAGCAACACAATCTTTAATGTTGTTTTCTTAAATTTAAATAATAATTTGAATATGCATTTTGTGTTTCATTGTGTTTTTTATTAGTTCACTAGCTTAGGAATGTTGATTTATTGAATACATAATGAATCTTATAAAAAATTTACAATTTTATGTAACAAACAGAACATGTATATGTGAACAGGTCATAAATTTACATTTTCTATAATGAATGATCTGTGTATGTTAAACAGTAAATATAGACAAGCCTATTATTTTGGAGATAATTTACGTTGCATGTGTCTTACAATATATTCGATCAAATTTTGGTTCAAAGAGTTGATACTATATCTAATTGAGGTGATAAATCATAAATGTCCTTCTTGGTCATTTTGACAGTATAAATGCTTATCCGCACTTTTAGCAAGCACATCAGCTACTTCCTAAAATCCGTGCTCTTATCCAAGCTGCCTATTTTCTCAGATAAAACAATTGCTGCTTTAGAATATCCCAAACACCCTCATTTAATCCTGGCTAAAAGATTGTACTATAAAATTGGAACTCGTTTGGAGATATTCTTTTGAAAATAGATGGGTTTAGGCTCTATTTTGGAACCTACAAAACTGGGTGATTTTTGACAAATATTGTAGAAAAACTAGAATCTTTCGGGACTCGAGTTTTTTGCTTAGCAAGTTAGGCTTACTCATACTGGAAATTAATTTAAATTTCAGAAACAGCTTTGTTGGATAGTATAGATTTTGGTAACTCGGAACCAGCTTAAAAGTTAAACAACTATTAGTCAGAAGTTATTCTACATTATAATAAGAGGAATAGTAATTTTTTGGAGAATGTGGATAATTAAAAAAGAAGGAAAAGTTTTTTGGATTTACGTGTAATATTATTTTATTAGAAAATATGTGGTTGATAAGAAAAGACAGAAAAAGAAATTATAATTTAATGGGGAATACTTGGGGCCTAACTGAGGATAAATCTTTTACTTTCAAAAGGACTGCCAACTCTCCTATTGCCAAAGAAAATCCACTTAGGTTCCAAAATGACCTTTTTGCTCATGGCACTTTACAATGAACCAGCTCTCTTCATGTTCCAATACTCAATGTTTTTTTTCAAAAAAAAAAAAGGCTATTTGAGGCTTATACATCTAATCCTGCCTAACGCGAGGAGTTTGTAAAACACCTCAAAGTTTACACCTTGAGGCACATTTTTAGGCTTACGAGTCAACTTAGCAGGCTTACGCCTCAAGGGGACTAAAATGTTTACCTCTTTTTCTTGCATTTTCAGACATTTTTTATTGGCCATATCTTATTGGGATACTTCTTTATGATCTAAAATGTTTTACGAGTTTTTTTTCATACTCCTTTTCTGTCTTTGCATGGAAGGGAAGGGGAAGGGGAAGGAGAAAAGAACAACCTCTTTCTTTGTTCCTATTCTTTTCCCATAGCAGGTTTTTCCTGTCTTGACTTCTAATGGAAGAACTTATAATGAAAGGGCTTTTCTTCGATTTTTCAACGAAATCTATTCCAAACATGTATGCCATGGTTCCTTACTTTGATAGGGTACCATTTGGATGGACAAGTGTAGGCTAACCATATAATTTGGAGTGGTGTATTGGATGCCAACAAATTGAAAGGGCCAAATTTTCTTGATTGGCACCGCAATTTGAGAATTGTTCTCAAATATGAGAAAATTGATTATGTCCTTGAGTAGCTCTTTTCAAAGACACCAGTTGATGAATCGACTAAGGAAGCGTGACTGAAATAATAAACACGGTGATGACGATAGTATTACAACACGTGTGATGCTTGTAACTATGTCACCTAAGTTGCTGAAGAAACATGAGGGTATAAATGCTAACACATTAATACATGACAAATCTTATATGGAAATCCATGATTCAGAGCTATAAAAGGCCAAATCAAAATTTTAAATTGTTTGCTATCTATACATATTTGATGCAGATGTCTCCAGCAATATATCAGTAGTATTGATTTGCTTAATTCTGGTTATTGATTGCTTCATTACCAACATCAATGAGATCATTGTCTTCATTAGTATTGACTGCTTCATTACCAAGATTATTGTGAACATTTCCTTTGACACGAACCCTCAAGTTGGAGTGAGAATGGACATGAACGCCTAAGTTGCTTCGAAACACAATAAAGGCATCTTTAAGTAATGCTTTTGTAAAGATGTCTGCTTGTTGAGAGGAAGATGGAATGTACCGAGTTACAAGTGTTCATATAGTGACTTTTTCACAGATAAAGTGGTAGTTGAGTTCAATGTGTTTTGAGCGGCCATGAAACATTGGATTGATTGACATATGCTATGCGCTTATATTATCACAGAACAATTGAGGAGGTTGAGAGAGTGACATGCCCATATCTCGTAGCAGAAATATTAACCACGTAATTTCAACTGTTGTGGAAGCCATAGAATGGTATTCAGCATTAGAGCTTGCTCGAGAAATAGTCGATTGTTTCTTAGAGCTCCATGAAATGCAATTAGCTTCAAGATAAACACAATAACCAGTGGTGCTTCGTCGTGTTGTAAGACAGCTAGCCCAGTGGGCATCGCTATAGCCATATACAAATATGGGGCTTTGAAAGAGACATCTCAAACCCAAATTTTGAGTACCCTTGAGATATCACAAAATTCATTTGACAGCCTTTAAATGTACAAGAGTAGGATTGCTAAAATTTTGACATACCCAATTAATTGCATAAATTATATCAAGTCCTGTGAATGTAAAGTATTGCGAAGCCCCTACAATACTTTGAAAATCAAAAGCGACCACATGATCACCATTTGTAAATGTAGGCTTCTCTTTAATGTTCATAGGAGTGGCATTGGAAGTATTTTCTAGCATCTGAGTTCTCTAGAGAAGATCTTGTATATATTTAATTGTGAAAGAAAAACACCTCCATTGAAGAATTTAAGTTCCACGCCAAGCGACGTGATTAAATGAGAGATAAAGTTTTCACTATTTCCTGCAAAAAGAACATCATCCACATACACTAGAAGTACTGCAATAATAACTTTGGTACGGTAAATAAATATAGAAGGATCTGCTTTGCTGCAGTAGAAATCAAGGTGAAGCAAAAATTGGGAGAGTCGATCAAACCAAACACGTGCTTGAATTAATCCATAAAATGACTTCTAGAATAAACAGACATGGTCTAGCTAGTTGGAATCAATGAAACCAGGAGACTGTTCCATGTAGAAAACACGTGCTTGTTTTAATCCATATAATGACTTCTTTAATAAACAGACATGGTCTAGCTAGTTGGAATCAATGAAACCAGGTGACTGTTCCATGTAGACAGTCTCCTTTAGATTTCCATGCAAAAATGTACTTTTAACGTCGAGTTATCTCATAGTCCAGCCAAGAGAGAGTGCTACAAGAAGTCGGATAGTAGTCGGTTTGACTACTGGACTGAAATTTTCATCATAATCTACACCACATACTTGAGTAAAACCCTTATCAACTAGGCGTGCTTTGAATCGATCAATGGATCGTTTTAAGACGGTAGACCCACTCTGAACCCACAATATTAACATTCTTTGGTCAAGGTACAAAATGCCACATATTATTATCTTGAAGTGCTGGCAACTCTTCTTGCATTGCAACAATCCATCGTGAATCTTTGAGAGCTGATTGAGAGGTCTTTGGCTCCGGCGGCAATGGGATAGGCTCTTTGTTAGTTGCCTATGTAGCACAGACACTTCAATTAGGGCAGCGTGTCCGTGTCTGACGAGTCGATGCCGACACTTTTCGGACACTCTACCGTAATCATTTTTTTATATTAGAAATATTATAGATTCTATATTCAAAGTTATTAGTAAATAACAAATATGTACTCGTGTTTAAAAGATTTCAACAATAAAAATTAATAACAAGTATAAAACTAAATTTATACTATATAAATGAAGAATTTTTAAGAATTTAATCAACGTGTCGATGACGTGTTATGTCTGTACTTTTTTTTAAAATCTCGTGTCGGCGTATCCTACACGTATCGTGTCGGACACACATGTCCGTGTCGGTGTATCATAGTTAGTTGCAATTGCCACATAATCATTCAAATATGTTGGACGACGTCGAACATGTTCATTTGTAGTGGGTGTTGCATTGATTGCCTCCAAATTTTGTGAAATTAAATCTGTAGAGTTTTGGTTAGACATTTCAGCAACATCATGGCTAGGACNTTTTTTTTCAAAATTTTTTTTTTGACAATGTGAACAAATTTAAACTCAATAGTAGAAAAAATTATCATTTTAATGGACAAATTCCATAAAAAACGAAGTCAAATGGACACCAAATTTTCAACATTTTCCATGGAAAATTATACAAATCAAACACAATTAATTACAAATTCCAGTAAAACATTTTCTAAGAAAATCAATTCCCTGTAAAACATTTTCTTTCCACCCATTTTCCACCATTGCAATCAAATAGGTAAATTTTTATGTAAATTAATATTTTTACCATTTTACCCCCTTTAAAAATCAAACTTACATAAGAAGTTAAAGCCTTTCTTCCTCCCAATATGTATAAAAAATTATTGCTTTAAACTATTAAATTAAAATGTTAAAATATAATATTTTAATCAACGTGTAGACGACGTATCATGTCAGAACTTTTTCAAAAAATCGGGTGTTGACAGACACTTGTGTCCGTGTCGGTGCTTCTTAGGTTTTTCCTATGAACCAGAAGTGACTTGACTTCATTCTGCAAATTGGCAATTAAATTCGACTCTACATGATTCCAATGTTGCAACTATAAATACAATAGAGCAGATTTGTGTCAATGCAAACGCTAGAAGAACCACATATTAATTTACACTCTTCATCAGCTAAAAATGGAAATATTTCCATAATATAGGCTAATAAATCTCCATTGTGGCCAGTTGCTCCTGTCTGGACCACATCCACACTGCTCCAGACACATCCATAAGTCATCCTTGGCAAGAAGAATTTGGCTTGGTGATTTATTATTATCACACCCCACTCCCTCCAATTGGACGAAGTATTCAACTCGGAGATTTACTATGACACCACTAAAATATTGTACATTTTTCTTGAATAGATATCACATCACAAAGTGCTAAGGCTATGTCCCTGTGAGTCTGTGACTGACAATTTTGGGGCTTCAGTGGATTAGGATATACTCACAATTACTTTGTGTCGAACCTTATATATGCAGTCTCCTTTGTTTCCAAAGACTTGATTTATAATCAACCTTACGTTTCTAAAATTATGATAATTTCCAGTTCAAGAAAACATAGCATAATAAGAATATCAAAACAAAGAATCAGAATAAGCAAATAGTGCTATATCCATGTTCTGAAAAAAATATTGAGGACGGTGACACTCTGATTCCAATTAACTCTTTTACCTTAGCACAAGCGGCAGCCTCTACTGAAGTTTCGCGACTGACAGCAGGAAAAGCTTCCAGTTCAAATTCTAAATCACTGTCATCATCCTATCAAAAGTAACTAAAAAACAAAAATTAAAGGGCTGAAGGGCATCAATTACATATCAGATTAAAGTTGGATTAAAATTGCAGCAAATAACTTGATCTCAAACATCATAAAATGATGACAATCAACTTTCTACCCATAGTATTACCCAACAAATTGCCAGTACCATAAGTTGAGAAATTAAAAGGATCTACAAAATCTAGTTTTGCGTAAAAATTGAAATTTCATTTTTTGTGTCATTAATATTGATGGTGACGGTGTCAGAGTTCACAAAGCACACAATAACAGCTCTTATCAAACTAACATATTTAATTTATAGAAGCACGCATAAACAATCAAATCACCAATAAGAGCTCCAAATTGTGTAACAAATAGTGTATATGCATCAAAACCATTAGGCACACGGATGTTTTGATTTTCCTGAAAAGATATTAATCAAAGTAGATGCTAAGAACATTGATCAATGACTCGAAAGAAACGAATTGACCTCAACCTCAATCCTAAGATGCCAGATTGTAGGCGAAGGCACCAACGTCGTTGGCATCGAGAAATAAATCATGGGTCCAGATCTTTTGACTAGTCGAGGCCTGAGATCCACTTGAAAGTGGTAATTGGTCGAGTTGTCAAGACACGCTCCCACATGTTCACTTCTATATGGAAGACGTGAAAGAATATTCTCCTTTAATAGCCAGTGTATTAAGGATTTTCGTACCCTAGATTCTCTCAACCAATGTAAGCAAAAATTTCTGACAAGTGCCCTCCGTACGTAGCAAACAACTACATGCATCAGCTTGGGAAGATGCTTATAAATAGACACCTTATATACTTGCTGAGCTTGTTCTACATCTTACACATGCCACATAATTATTAGTATCCTTTTCCTTTCAAAAACACTGACTTGGTAGTCGGAGAGAAGGGGGAAGAGTGCCGCATCTTTCAGGATCCGGAGATGGCCATAAACTACTCATTTCGTAACATAAGTTTCAGGCGTCATCAATATACGTTAATAAACTCGCATATGCACATGTGCGATTAATAATGGGATTGATATTGATTACCAGAGGGTTTGCAGCATTGTTCAATGAATCAACGAGGTCATCCCGATATGCGAGGTGGCGCCAGAGTTTTTGGTACTCCCTCGGATTGGAAATCCCTGTAGAAGTATTTTTTACCATTGCATTCCAGTCAATTTTCCTCTCGGAAACCACCGCCACCTCTTGCAGTAATGCCAGCACCGTCTGCGAAGAGTACCTTCAAAAAAACCAAAAACTAAGAATCGATGAACTTTTACGATCAAAATTAAATTTTAATAAAGTAAGAAACACACCTCTGTAAGAGAGTAGACACGTCTTCTTCACTAATTGAGCCTTTCTTTCGCTTTTTAGTTGTGTCAGCCATCGTTAAAGTGCAATTCTTTCTTCGTTTTAGCCTAAAATTACACGAATTTGGAGGAGAATTCACCGAAGAACTCGATCGAAAAAAAAATATATATATATATGTGGTTTTACGCACCCAGAGGAGGAGGTTGGGAGCGAAGAGGTTCCGGCTTGTAACAGGATGAACGACACGACGGTTCAGTCAATACAGTGCCAGTCTTGGAATAAGTGTGCTGGGCTGGCTGAGAGTGTATACAGTTAGGCCCATGTTGTACTTATTTTGAGAATTTTCAATTTTAACACACTTTTTGAAAATCTTTTACCACCTTCAGGATAGCAAAATATTTTCACTACCAATATTAGGATAACACTTTAGTACGACGGGGCGAAGGTGTTATAAGCCCCTATTTTATGGCCATTATTTTTAGAAAAATTGAGTTTAAATAAATATTTTTTGAATATTGTGTGTTTAAAAAGTAGAAAGAATTTGGATTTACGTACGAAATATTTTATTGTACAAATGAATGGTCGGGATCAACCTGACTATAGACAGCGTAAGCGATCGATTAAAGCCCCTCTTATGTAAGGTTAATTGACTAGTTGAAAAAAATGAAAATTATAATTAAGAATTTTTTTTAAATTAGAATTATCATATGCAAACACAAGAAACTAAAAAAATTTTAAAATACAAATTATCTATAAAAAATCATACAAATGGCATAAAACTTATCACATACATTTATATATAACATAAATATATAACAGTCATTACTTTCTTTAGAGCTTGTTCTAAAATACATTTTTTCTCCTTTTTTTGTTTTTCAATCATACATTTTTCAATAAAATAATATTACACGCAAATTCAAAACATTTTCTTATTTTTTTAATCACACATCTCCTTCAATTTACTATTTCAAAATTCATTTTTAGCAAAGAGAGAGAGAGAGAGAGACTCAAACATGGGTTATATATAATTAATTTGACAATTTATCTTTCTAGGAAAAATCCACTTGTACAATCATTAGAGAGTTATAAATCTTACAACCTCTCACATTAGTGTGGGACCCACAAATTAATTAATTTGTGGGTCCCACACTAATGTGAGAGGTTGTAAGATTTATAACTCTCTAATGATTGTACAAGTGGATTTTTCCTAGAAAGATAAATTGTCAAATTAATTATATATAACCCATGTTTGAGTCTCTCTCTCTCTCTCTCTTTGCTAAAAATGAATTTTGAAATAGTAAATTGAAGGAGATGTGTGATTAAAAAAATAAGAAAATGTTTTGAATTTGCGTGTAATATTATTTTATTGAAAAATGTATGATTGAAAAACAAAAAAAGGAGAAAAAATGTATTTTAGAACAAGCTCTAAAGAAAGTAATGACTGTTATATATTTATGTTATATATAAATGTATGTGATAAGTTTTATGCCATTTGTATGATTTTTTATAGATAATTTGTATTTTAAAATTTTTTTAGTTTCTTGTGTTTGCATATGATAATTCTAATTTAAAAAAAATTCTTAATTATAATTTTCATTTTTTTCAACTAGTCAATTAACCTTACATAAGAGGGGCTTTAATCGATCGCTTACGCTGTCTATAGTCAGGTTGATCCCGACCATTCATTTGTACAATAAAATATTTCGTACGTAAATCCAAATTCTTTCTACTTTTTAAACACACAATATTCAAAAAATATTTATTTAAACTCAATTTTTCTAAAAATAATGGCCATAAAATAGGGGCTTATAACACCTTCGCCCCGTCGTACTAAAGTGTTATCCTAATATTGGTAGTGAAAATATTTTGCTATCCTGAAGGTGGTAAAAGATTTTCAAAAAGTGTGTTAAAATTGAAAATTCTCAAAATAAGTACAACATGGGCCTAACTGTATACACTCTCAGCCAGCCCAGCACACTTATTCCAAGACTGGCACTGTATTGACTGAACCGTCGTGTCGTTCATCCTGTTACAAGCCGGAACCTCTTCGCTCCCAACCTCCTCCTCTGGGTGCGTAAAACCACATATATATATATATATTTTTTTTTTTTTCGATCGAGTTCTTCGGTGAATTCTCCTCCAAATTCGTGTAATTTTAGGCTAAAACGAAGAAAGAATTGCACTTTAACGATGGCTGACACAACTAAAAAGCGAAAGAAAGGCTCAATTAGTGAAGAAGACGTGTCTACTCTCTTACAGAGGTGTGTTTCTTACTTTATTAAAATTTAATTTTGATCGTAAAAGTTCATCGATTCTTAGTTTTTGGATTTTTTGAAGGTACTCTTCGCAGACGGTGCTGGCATTACTGCAAGAGGTGGCGGTGGTTTCCGAGAGGAAAATTGACTGGAATGCAATGGTAAAAAATACTTCTACAGGGATTTCCAATCCGAGGGAGTACCAAAAACTCTGGCGCCACCTCGCATATCGGGATGACCTCGTTGATTCATTGAACAATGCTGCAAACCCTCTGGTAATCAATATCAATCCCATTATTAATCGCACATGTGCATATGCGAGTTTATTAACGTATATTGATGACGCCTGAAACTTATGTTACGAAATGAGTAGTTTATGGCCATCTCCGGATCCTGAAAGATGCGGCACTCTTCCCCCTTCTCTCCGACTACCAAGTCAGTGTTTTTGAAAGGAAAAGGATACTAATAATTATGTGGCATGTGTAAGATGTAGAACAAGCTCAGCAAGTATATAAGGTGTCTATTTATAAGCATCTTCCCAAGCTGATGCATGTAGTTGTTTGCTACGTACGGAGGGCACTTGTCAGAAATTTTTGCTTACATTGGTTGAGAGAATCTAGGGTACGAAAATCCTTAATACACTGGCTATTAAAGGAGAATATTCTTTCAC